CATCTGTAAAGAAAAGAGGGAATAATGGCATAATGATGCTGGCTTTCAACACTTCTTCAAACAAAAGGTTAGGAAAGAAACCCCCATTAATGCTTTTAAAGTCTGAGAAACCTATTTTCAGAAGAAAAAAAAACTGATTTAGCAGAAAGTTTTATACATTTAAAATAAAAGTTGCAAAGGCCGCTTTGTCAATGAATGTTTCCTTCTAAGGAAACGGCTAATATCTTAATTACCCTACATTGTATTTATTCAATAAAACTACACTAATATTCGTTAGACTATCTTTTATTATACATTTAAAATCAATGTGATCACGACGGCGGTGTAAATGCATTTGTGTAAACCTTGTCTATATCTCTGAGATGAGGTATTATGATTATTTACATTATTCGGAGTAATATTCTCATCTTCATTGGCATATTCTCAACGTTTCGGTCGTTGTACGCTCCGGCCTTCTTCAGGTGATTGGAAATTCAAACCGAACCGTTTATTTCGTCCACCGGATTAGACTATTCTAGTTACACGTGCCATGCCTCTCCAAAATGCCTTTGGTTATATTTTTTTTTAATAAATGAACTCTCCAAGATTTTGGTTCGCCGCATCTGTAGCCTGGTACTGAACTCACTAGTCTTCCAGTCTAGTAACTGGGTCTAACTAACGCTTTTATCCCCGATTTTACATTTCGCAGTGGTGAACCAAAGAAATTGGAGAGTTGAGTGAATGGGAAATAACTGATATATCCGGAAGAGGCATGTCACGTGGAACTGGAACAATCTACTCGATTGAAGAAATCATGGTCTCAGTTCGAAATTCCAAAGATCTGAAGAAGGCTGGAGCGCACAATGGACGAAACGTTTTGAATATGTCAATGAAGAAGAGGATAACAATCTGAATAATGTAAATAATGTAAGGGTTGTTAAACTTTAGACATCTGTGTGCATTAAAGAGACACAACTTCACTCATTAAGTATTGCTGCTATGGATACCGTAGAAAGTAGGCTTTTGGGGTTTTGAATTTCCAACCAACTAGAGTCCATTTTTTTTAGATTTATTGCCAATTAAAACTAGAGAATCCTACCTTCGGGCGAAGAGAGTGGATGGTACCTTTCCAGAGTATTTGAGCGCGAGAGAATGCAACTGTATGGATAGAAATTAGATCTTTACAATCCAGGTCAACTTTCCGCGCCAAAAAAACTTTTTTACAATAGGGACATCCATTTTTCTGTGTGCTAGTGAAGAAATCTAAAGTAGAGATCCCAAAGTGGAAGTAACTCTCTTGTCTAATCTATTGGTCTGCCTGATTTCGTTTTCATTTAAGCTGCGCTGTTAATATGTTAATCTTAGCGTGTTCAACCAAATGAATATCGATATCAATATAGTAGAATAGTAACTTATGAAATAGGGTTTATAAAGTTAGTAATATATTAAGCGCATCTTAAATTGTAGTTCAATGATAATGACCTAGAAATATGGCGCCCATGATCGCGCCGATCGTAATTTCTTGAGGAGTTGCGTTTTTTTTTCCTCCTGTTATGGTTACTTATTTTACTTGAGCCAAACTTATTTCAGTTTTTTATTGTAAGGATTTTAGTAATTGTCATGATTTGGAAAATTGTAGCACGTTATACTTTTGTTTTTGCAGTTGTTTTCTGAATATTTTATCGAACTATCCTACTTTAAGTTATTACTTAATAATTTGATCTCTCTAATTGGAATTTTCCTTCAATATTCTTGCAATATTTTTTGTCTTCATTTCCTTCTTTTAATGGTATCATATAATTTTCTTTTCTTTCTTATTTCCTGGTTTCCATTGTTTCTTTACACCTATTTTTCTGGTCATTCATTTCTCAGATATTTATTTCCCCTTCATGGATTTTCTGAGCGTTTAAGATATTCCTAGCTCAGACTTTTAAATCAAGTCTTTTTCATCGAGATGGAAATATATATATATATTTATATATAATTATTTTTATAAAAAAATGATAACATAAGTATCTTATAAAATCACTACAAAAATAGCCATTTTGTTTCAACACACTCTGTGTCTTATCAAGTGATGATGTTGAAACATCATCACTTGATAAGACACAGAGTGTGTTGAAACAAAATGGCTATTTTTGTAGTGATTTTATAACATACTTATGTTATAATTTTTTTATAAAAAATAATTATATCTGCTCTACTTTGTATTGAGCACTCTTTTAAGAATAGTAATTGTTGGTTATTGGAATTCATTCCGTGTATACCAATTATATACTTTGATATATTTATATATATATATATATATATATATATATATATATATATATATATGTGTGTGTGTGTGTGTGTGTGTGTGTGTTATACGTGTTTGTGTGGGTATGTACATATAATAGCTGGACACTCGTATTCGAGGATTCCCGTCTATTAGGGGCGGCTAGCCAATCCCTATTGCAGACGCAGGGTCAGGCACATTTGTGTTGCTCAACACCAACAGAGCCTTCATGTGTTTTATACGGCAACTATGCTGAGCAGATTTTTGTAACTTTTTCTGGGAGAGAGCGTGTTATATGGCGAGATCAACAGTTTGAACAAGGCCAGTGCGCTCAAGCCCTCGATCACGATGACAGGTGGCTTCGTGCTACAAAAGCTATCGACGGCACACATGAGTTCCGTCTACCTAATTTCATTGACAAGGTCTGAGTTAACCCGTGCTATGGTTTTCAGACACTTTCCAAATATGCCGCACGCTAGGATTGATCTCGATCCAGTCCGATAACCTCAAGAAGTCGCAATCCTGTCAAAGCGATCATGGTTAGATTCGAACCCGCTTCTCATTGTCAGAAAATTAACGTTCTAATATATATATATATATATATATATATATATTTGCTCCTCAAAACCTACTGATCAAAGGCCTTGCTGTTGGACATAGTTTATCATATATATATATATATATATATATATATATATATATATATATATATTTTTTCATCGCTTGATAAGTCACCAGAAATGTTGAAAACGCTGTCTATTTTTGTAGTGATTCTATAACATATTTATGTTATAATTTTCGAATAATTTGTTATATTTGCTCTACTCTGTATTGGTCACTCTTTTAATAATAGTATTTTGAATTATTGGAATTTATTTCGTATACAACAATAATATACTTGTATATATATATATATATATATATATATATATATATATATATATATATATATATATATAGAGAGAGAGAGAGAGAGAGAGAGAGAGAGAGACATGTGCTTCAGAGAAAGTTTGAGCGAATGTGAGAAAATGGGTGAGCCAATGAGAAACAGAATAAGACAGAGTGAAATAATGAGAAAACGAGTGAGTGCCTGATAGTGAAGTGTGTTCATGAGAAAGAGTGAGAGACAGATTGAAAATAATTGTTATAGTGAGGATGTGAATCTTAGCCAACAGAGAGTGACATTGCGTGCATATGAGAGAGTTTGTTTGTGAGAGAGATATAGAATGAGAAAGCGAGAGAGTGTGTTAGGTAGACAAACCGCGACAAAAAGAGAGAGATAAATTTGAGATGGTATTGTCATAAGTTGTTAAAAAAACCTCCAGCTCTTACGACTAGTCTAAATCTTTCATTTTTCTTTCCTTCTTGGTATTTTTTCTTTGTCTTTTTATTACTCTTATTTTTTTAGTTTTTCTTTCATTAACCCTTTCTACAATTGTATGTTTTCACTTCATTTTAGATTTTAATCTTCTCTGTAAGTGTTTATTTTATCCTTTGACTCCATTTTCTTTAGTTTATTTTTTCTCATTTCCAGCTTTTCTGTCATATATATATATCTCATTTTATTTTACTTTCTTTTCATCATGTTTTTTTTTTCATTCATTACATTTATCTAGTCTTTAGAATCATTAAGTACATTTCCTTCTTTCCATTTTAGTTACTGTTTCGCTATAATTTTTACTAATGTAGCGATATTATTGTCAACTGATATCTTCTAAAATAGAAACAGCTGACCTGCCATAGAAATGATTTCGGATATTTATTTTCCAGTTAAGTGAAGTAGTCTTTCCAAGTATATGGCATGCGGCTCGGACAAAAATAGTAACTGAATGATGTTAAATTATTTTTTATACATAGATGACTATGTTCCATATAAGTGTGAGGTCACTCCCCGCGAAAAACGCAGTGTGACGCAGAATGACAAGAAGATCACCCCCCTTACCTACGGGTAATTTCGGCTTGTATCATGTGCAGCAGTAGATTATAAACCGTGAATATAAACTGTTTACTGCTACACATTATTATGGTTTTAATTCGTAGGTAAAGATCTGACCAGTAGCGTTTGACTTGAAAAAGCTGCACTCTGAGAACGAACCTGGTGGCTGCTCTGAACTGCAACACTAAGTTCTTACTTCATATTTAAAAAATACTTTTACTCCATTTTTCTTTATTTATTTTTTATATTTTTATATTTATTTCAACTATTTTTCTGGTAATTCGTTTGTTTAATGAATTACTAATTAAGTTATATTTTCTTTTTTTGTAAATTCCTTTTTAGGTATTTCGTTTTTATTTTCTTTGGCTTGTATTATTCTGCCATGTTTTATACCTTTGAATTCTGCTGCCTATGCTGCTTTATTGTCTTTTAAATTTTATAATTTAGTAGATACTAATTTCTTTCTTTTTTAATTTCTTTTGCTTTTATATCTTTTTTCTTTATTTTCTTTCTTTTATTTTTAATGTAATCTTCCTCATCTTTAAATCATTTTTTTATTCTTTGTAACTTATATCGTTTATATGATTTCTGTCTGCCAATATTTTTTTTCTTTGTTTATTTTCTTTTCTTTATTTTTGCTTATAATTTCTTAACCACTCTTTCCTTCTTTTCCATTCTGTTTTTTTTTGTTCTTTCATTTTTCCTTTTTTTTTTTTTTTTTGTATTTCGTTTTCATTCTTTCTTTTACTGATTCATGTTATTTCTTATCTTTTCAATGTTTTCATTCTTCTACTTATTTCTCTTTTTTAGCTTATTTTCTCTTTCAAACCGTCACTTTGCTTTTATTCCTTTTTCTCCATTCGCTTCTTACGTTTCTTTACATTCTGTCTAATTTTATTCTTTTTTTATTTTAATATTTTCTCTCTTTATACTTATTTCCTTCAGTTCTTTGGTCAATATAATTTTGCCTTCTCCTTTTTAACTCTTCTTTTTTTCACATATGTTTTATTTTCTTATCTTCCTTCATGTCCACATATATATGTTATATATGTTATCTTTCTTAATAATTTTATTCTAATAGCTACCAAAATGTCTTCCTTTCATTTATTTCATATTTTTCTGTATTTCTCCTTTATTTCCATTCTCTACAATGGCACTTCTGCTTTCTCAGTTTCCATCGATCTATCATTGCTTGTTCGGGGGATGCATGTCATCGATATCTCTTAACATACTTTTATTTTTATTACCTGTATAATCTGTGAATCATTCAACTCTTTTCCCCTCCCTTCCACCCAGCGTTTCTGGCAATTGTTCGCGTGCCATTGCGACCCTTTTTATATTCATTCTCTCACTGATTATATAAAGCATAATCTTCGATCGCGAATCTCGCACGTAACGGGCCATTGCCACTATCTGTCAGCCGAGAGCAATCGGCACCAATATTGGACCCAATGGTGTCTGCTAATTGAGAGAGAATGTTCTCTTAATTAGGAGCCTCGGTATAATGCTTGCAAAATAGGCAGCATTAACGGTGTCAGCTAGTGCAATATGATAGGATGGGCAAAATGGGCAAACACGAAGAAAAGTCGTGCAAAATCCTACGTTATGACTTGTGCGAATATAGAAATTTGAGTAGATTCAATAGACTAATGAGTAAGAAACGTTGAGAATAGACAGAAATGCAGACAAAAATCACACACACATTTAATATAATATAATGTAATATAATACGATATGGTTTGAAATTATGCTATATTTATGATTTAAAGTGCTAAATATTAAGGATAGAGCGTGTGTAGATCTAAAGATTGTCAGTGAAGACAGGCAACAGTCTGGCTCATGCTAAACGCATTAGTCCGGCTATATGCATTGCAAACTATGCCAGGATAAGGAAATAGCAATATATAACTTCCCAGACCCACACAAACTACTAAATAAACGATCAGAAACCATCTTAAAATTCAGAGACTAAAACAAGTTTTTACTAAGTTAATGAAAAATGGAAAACTGAAGATGAACAATAATAAACAAAAAAAATAAATACAAATAAAGAAATAAGATAATTACCCAACTATAATTAAAATAAATCATTCCAAAGCAAGAAATATGTAAATAACTAAGTAAAATGTAAATATACTGAAAAACCAAGAGTGCCAACATAAACGCATGTCAAAGTTAAAATCACAACCAAGAATGAATAATCAAAAGTCAAATTAGAACACTAAAAATATTCAACAAACTGCATCTGGCACCCAGAATATTCCCACTCAATAGCCCTAGAATATTTCGAAACTTTACCATTACCACACATCAAAATACCAATTAAAATTATACAAAACTTCCTAAAATGTATTAATGACCTGTATATATGCAAATGGTGGGACGAAAACTCAAGGCATATTGCTTGACGATTGCGTTTAGTACAGTTATTTCTAGATATTGACTTCACTGCCTATACAATTTCAAAATAAAGATACGTTAAAACAAATTGATATTTGGGGGGGAAATTGGAAAAAAAAAAGAAAAGACAAAAAAGATTCAATAGGCCAAAAAACAATCGCAGAGTATCGTAATTTCTAGTTCAAAGAAAAAAAAACACATTCGAGTAGAATAAGATAAAAAAATAAAGTGCTAAATACACTAAGTATATTAGAGAATAAAAAAATCTTAGTTAGCCAGAAAATGAATGGACTTTCAGGGTAAGGTCCCTTTACGTGAAACCTTGGGAGGAATAGTCTGGCTCACTAGCACACACACACACACACACACACACACACACACACACACACACACATATATATATATATATATATATCCTCAAGAGTGCCGCCATTGAATATTATCCAAATATTAATCTGTGTCCAGATTTTTCCTAATCTCCCCTTTCCTAACAGAATCACTACTCTCCCAAGCAAACGTACAAAAAAAATCTATCAAGAAAGCAAAAGAAAAGTGGAGAATCCGTTACCACAACAGTACAGACAATATTGCTCCATGTGAAAATATTCTCTTCAAACATAAAATAGTTGACGTAAATTTTCAGTTGAACACATGAATATAAAATAGCGTTTCTAAATTCTTCTACTTGCTAACGGCATTTTGTTTGTTGTTACAATAACTTCATTTAGTTCTTTGCTTTGAAAAAGTTCAAAATGGACGAAACTTATCTACAGTTTTCCTATTGTCTTTTTCCTTCACACACACACACACACACACACACACACACACACACACACACACACATATATATATATATATATATATATATATATATATACATATATATATATGTGTGTGTGTGTGAAGGAATTAGAGAATCACATAACATCCCACATCGATAGAACGATTGGCACTTCATGCAACGACACAATACCATCTCCCAGTGGTTTCGATTTTGTGCTTCTTTCATATGTTCAAGTGGCCATATGCCGCTACATTGTGGAATATATGATGCCTCCCTACAGGAAAGTAAAGTATTTCTGAACCCCAAAAGACTTAGTTTTGCAAAAGGTAAGCAACGTTCAATTTTTGTCTATTCCTCGACATGCACATTGTTGTCTCAAAACTTTCTTCAATAGCGTATCTCTTAGAATGTTGCCTCTAACTAGAAGGAATCTCTGCAACTGATGATATGTTGACCCTGTAAAACTGAATATAGACTTTAATAGATTAACGTCTTTTGGAGTTAGGGAGACAGTTGATAGTTCGTCTATGTTTCTGAGATGAAGTATTGCAATTATTTACACTATTTACATTGTTCAGATAGAAGAAGCCCAGAGCGCACAATGGCTGAAACATCGTGAATATCTCAATAACAATGAGGACTATCTTACCAACAACGTAAATAATGTAAAAATTTCATTGTTATAGTGTATTTTATCCTTCGTTTTATATGACATGGGCCAGAAAATGACTGGATGTTAAATCGCTCACGAATAATTGACTACAACGACAAAGGTGGCGATAACCGTTCGAATAAACTAGTACATAATAATGACAAGTGTACATGTGAAACATTCAAACAGAACAAGAGTGTTTTTATAACTCCAGTAATTTTTTCAAAGCTTCATATATTTGTTGTTTCTATTAACATCGCTTGATTTCTTTTATTTATTGAGTAATTTTCAAGAAACGTATTAAAATCAATATTCTGAAATTTTGCGACAACAAAAAGAAAATGAATTTCAGTCGTCTCAATAATTCTTTGAATGATTGCAACCATTCTATAAGACTTATTTCTTTTCATAATTATCTGGAATAAGACTGTCTTACCATATCAAAAAGAAAATTTAGCGCTTTCTGATTGCGTCCATTATTTTTTAAGAGTTTCCCATGTGTATACACTAAATGGCACGTTCAATTTTACATATATTAAATAATATGTATGTTTATATTAACGACTATAGGTATGGAAAAGAAATTCGATAAGGGTTAAATCCCTCTAAGACTTCTGCTTTTACTTTCGGAATATGTCCCGAGTCACGTTGAATCCACAGGCTGACTCTTTTACCAGACGAGTGTTAAAATGCAGGTTGACATATCTGGCAGTTAGTTTATCCTGAATTCAAAGCTATAAACATTTTAATTAAATTGGCCGTTTTTTCAGTCGTTGCATTCCCTTACGCGCAAATACCCTTGGGAATGGTATGAATCCATCTCTTCTCCCCACAAGCTTTGGGTTTAATAGCAGGGATGACTGGGTGATATAGCCTTGGCTGGCAACCAATCTACCGCCGAAACAAGTAAACAAGTAATTGGTAAAATATTCTAAATATACATGATCGTCCAAACATGTTTCAAGGATATCATATAAACGACAAGTTTAAATTTATTATTGCCTTTATCGAGGCGTCTACTTTGGTTTAATTTCCTTGACAGCATATCACCACATAAATGGGTTATTTAATGCCAACACACATTTTAAAATAGATTCGTATGAATGGAATATGTATACTTTGTAAGAAATCAGTTTGCAGATCAAGGCTCATTGGTGTATTTTTGCAAAGACGGGTTTAGTTAAGTCAAACGTATTGCTGGTAATTGTTTCTTTAAAAACATATTGTTGGTAATATATTTTACCTCTTTCTAAAATGCATTGCTGGTAACTTTTCACAAATGTATTAACCGGTAATTTGCCTTTTTCACTGCTTCTTCTCACAAATGCTTTGCCGGTAATATTTTTTTCTTTCCAAAAATGTATTGCTGATATCTTTTTTTTCAAAAATTTATTGCTGGTATTTTTACTATAAAAATTTATTTTCATACTTTCATAGTGATTTGTCCTCAATTTGAGGGCTAATTATCTGCCCATCGCTTGAACTCTAACAGCTATGATCACCCGGGGTTAGGGTCGACCGGGGACATTACAGCTTAAATTGTGGTTCCACGCCTCTCAAAACCTCCCGATCAGAGGCCATGTTGTCGCATGCAGTTTATCGTCATACCCAAAACGATCGCGTTTTTGGACCATGATAAATTATTATTAATTCATGTTATCAGTTACGGTAACAAAAAAAAAAGTTTGATTTCTAACAGTAAAATTTCTGATAAATGTTTATTTGATGTAGTGGAAAAACATACTGAATATTTTATAGTACCTCCATAGAACGATTTCAAGAATAACGTTATTTTGAGTACATGACGCGATAGTCCAGTGAATAATCTTATCCTGTGTAACCACGTTCATTTAACAATTTAACCGTATAAAAACTATACTGGCTAAGACACTTTCTACCTTTTTCTCTTAGAGAAACCAACGATGATCGAAAGTTCTCTGAGAAACAGAATTTTGTCAATCCATTTACCAATGTATATTGACATCAGGCTAAACGCAGCTAAAGTGCTAACATTCACTCTCTATTCTAGTTAATGCCACACGATTAAATGAAACACTACTGCACCTAATATTAAAACAAACTGGTAAATCCTAGAAAAATAAAGCCCAAAAACTTATTAGAATGTAACGCTTTTGAAGCGAAATAATTTCTTTTTAGGAATGAGTTCAAAAAGAAAAGTACAGCGAAAATTGTGGATAAATGAGAAAAAGTTCAAAGGACGTTTCTTTGCCAGCGACTTTAATTTTTGCTTTTCACCACTACGTCAAATACAACTGGCTTTGACGGGTAGCTTATACGCGAAAAATTAAATATGCAGGCAAAGAGATGGCATTTGGAATTTTCCTCTTCTGTTAACTATATATATATATATATATATATATATATATATAT